ATATATATATATATATATATATATATATATTATTAATTACACCAATTAATCATAAATTAAGAGACTTATTTGGATTAGAATATTTTTATAGAAATTTTTTTTATAATAATTAATTATTATTAATTATAAAACAGAAACACAAATAATATATAATTATTGATTATTAAAAATTAATAATTATCATCGATAATCTTATTTATTAGATAATTGTTTATAATTTAAAGTATTAGTAAAATTTTATTTAACAGTTTAAAAATAAAGTTAATTTTTTTTATTAAAACTTTAAAAATGTCCAAAATATATAAGAGAAGTACAGATATAAAAGTTGTTTGATAAGAAAAAATTGTTTATTGAACATTTAAAAAAATGATTAAAAGTAAGTTTGATCCAATAACATCTTGTATTATAATTTTTTCTCCTTACTTTTATTTATTTATTTTTACTTTTAAATGTTAGTTTAAAAATGATAATGATAATCGAACTTTACACACAATAACATATAATTGAGTTTGAATTAAATGATTTCAATAAATCTGCTGATAAATATTATACTATAATGAATATATAATTGTTATCCTTTCAATTGAATTATTTGTAAATTGATCTAGAAAAAAGATTGCACAATTATTAACATTCAACAACATAATGGATTGGGGAATGCTAATGACTAACATTCACTTTGTTATTGTAAAAAAAAAAAAAAAACAACAACAACACTCATTTTGTTAAAAAAATATTTACTTAACTTTTATAAGAATATTTTTTAACTATCATTGTAAAATTTTAGATGACGGATAATAATATAATCTTATATATAGTAATGAATGATGAAATCATTATACTAATTTTCATAAAATATTATTTTAAAATAAATAAATAAAAACTTGTGTTATTTTCATTATTGTCGTTATATGTAAAAAAATTTAACAATTAAAAATAATTTAACAATAGTTATTACATCAAATGACATGTTAATCATTTATATATTTAATTTCAATTATCTTTCAATGCCTCTTATAATATGAAAAATTAATTATTTTAATTTTAATTTTTCTAAACAATCATGTTAATAATACAATGAACTTAAAAAATTAAAACCACAAAAAAATTTCATATCTTATCTAATCAATCTCTGATGTTAAGATCGAAAAGTTTTCTCTCCACTGTTTAATGGAAAAAAATGTGTTAAATAAAATTAATTTTAGATGGATAGGATTTTATATAATTGATTATTTACTTTTGAAATAGAACCCATAACATGTATAAAAACATTAAATTGGATGAATAGATAGTAAATATATTAAATTAGTATAAATATCAAACATAAATCTGTCAAATTAAAAAGTAAAAATAAGTGAAAAATACACCTATACAATAACTAATGGCGTGTTTAAAATACTCAAACATATGTTTAATTTAGATGGCATCTCTGATACACCACTTTAACAAGTGGTGCATAGGTGGTGATCAATAATCACCATAAATATAATATAAAAAATAATGAATGGTTGAGATTAGTGATAGTATATTATACACCTTCACACACAGGATCAAAAATTTCGAATTTTTTATTGAAATAAATTTTTTTTTCAACTACCCAAAAATAAACACGTGTTACGACGTACAGACGTAGATGCTTCTCAGTTTCGGAACGTGCCGTTCTGAAATCAGAACGGGCCGTTCCATAAGAAAAATATGCATATGACTTTTTGGATTTTAAGCTTATTGGGCATAGTTTTGGGCTTCATGGGCCTTTGGACTTTTGTTTACTTCTGAGCTTAGTGAACCCAATGGGTTTGATGGGCCTAAGGTTCTCTTTACTTGAGCTTTACATAGATGACCACCTTTCTCATATATTTGGTAGTATAGGAGTTTATATTGTTTGGTCTTGTATTCTGGGCTTTAGTATAAGACTTTTTGGGTTTTAAGCTTATTGGGCCTAGTTTTGGGCTTCATGGGCCTTTTGGCTTTTGATTGCTTCTGAGCTTAGTGAGCCCAATGGGTTTGGTGGGCCTAAGGTTCTCTTTACTTGGACTTTACATAGATGACCACCTTTCTCATATATTTGGTAGTATAGGAGTTTATATTGTTTGGTCTTGTATTATGGGCCTTAGTATAAGACTTTTTGGGTTTTAAACTTATTGGGCCTAGTTTTGGGCTTCATGGGCCTTTGGACTTTTGATTGCTTCTGAGCTTAGTGAGCCCAATGGGTTTGGTGGGCCTAAGGTTCTCTTTACTTGGGCTTTACATAGATGACCACCTTTCTCATATATTTGGTAGTATAGGAGTTTATATTGTTTGGTCTTGTATTATGGGCCTTAGTATATGACTTTTTGGGTTTTAAGCTTATTGGGCCTAGTTTTGGGCTTCATGGGCCTTTCGACTTTTGTTTGCTTCTGAGCTCAGCGAACCCAATGGGTTTGGTGGGCTTAGAGTTCTCTTTACTTAATGTCATTGAGCCAAAGAGTCTCTTATACTCTCGTGTTTGATATGACAAAACTCACGCCCGATCCTAATTAGGTAAAAGACCTTTGTCTAATTTATGTTTAACGCCACATACATTAGCACCCAATGCAAATCCAAACAGAAAATGAGTATCTCTCCTCACACTAGGTGACATTTAATCAACGCCTAATGTTTGTGGCATTGACAACAAAACCACGAAAGTCTATGCACCTTAAAAACAATTAAACTAATGTAAATCAAATTTAAAAATATTTGGTAACATCATTTTTTTAAGACAAAAATGTCAAGATATATAACTAAAACTAACAAATTTTTGCAATGATTTAAATGAGAGAAAATTATATTTATAATAGAAAATTTTGTTTGGTGTTATTTTCTAATTAGAATTAGAAATTTACGCATATAATTAATGTAAACCCCTAATTCTAATAGAAAAGCATTATAACTATACTTAACTTTTAAATGTAATTTTGTAGAATGAAAAAAAAAATATTATTTTGCTAAAAAAAAAAGTCATAGGACAAATATATCGTTAGAACGGCTCGTTCCGAATTCAGAACGGGTCGTTCTGGTTTAAGTAGTCATGTGTTATTTTTGGATCTGGAATGGGCCGTTCTGATTTCGGAACGGGCCGTTCTGATCCATTCTTCATGCGTTTTTTTTTTCATCTGGAACGGCCCGTTCTAATCCTTTATTCATGTGTTATTGTTTCATCTGGAACGGCCCGTTCTGGTTTCAGAACGCTCCGTTCCGAAAGTGATTAGCAGCTGCGTCAGTGCATCGTAACGCGTGTTTCTTTTTTAGGTAATTTAAAAAAAAAATTCAGTAAAAAATTTAGAAATTTAGGTCCAGTATGATAAGGTGTATAATGGTCTATTATTAGTTTAGATGTATCTAAGGGTCCAAACTCATAATGCACCCATAGACCACTTGTGAAAGTGGTGTTTAAGAGAATTCACCTTTAATTGAATCCAGTTTATCATGACAAAAACCTTTCCGTTTAGGAACCTTAAAATTTGTACCAACTATCAATCAAAGGCATGATAAAAATTCAAAATTGATTTAAAAAAAAACAAAAATAACTTCGTATTAATTCAACCCACCATAATTTTCTCTAATTAAAATTAATTTTCTTTTACTAATCAAACATTTTTATTTTGAATCAATGAAATTTGACAACACACCACTATTAACCGTATTTTGAACACCCCCACCACATACAAAACACTGCATCTGATTCCAAACCAAAGTGGGGTAAAGTAAAATGTGCTTCATTCAGGAATATTTCCCCACATTACACATGAACATGAAGTAACACAGATACGAGTCTCTACCTTTTTTGACATAGCAACTAACTAGGCAATAATAATAGTGATGCCAAGTATAAACTATAAAGTGTTCTCACTGGAACCACTTTTTCCTATCTCAACCGACAATTCACTGACAAATGGAGGCTTTGAGTTCAAAGAAAGGAACCCGAATATGTGATGCAATGTAAACCACACTATTCCTAGTTTCCAAATCATAATTATAATAATATCTTCACACCCCAACATAGGTCCCAACAACATTAACCTTTCAACAAACTCCTTCCCTTAAGCACTTACCTTCTTCTCATTTTCTCTCACAAAATTTTCATTTTATGGTCTCTTCACACTTTTCTACCAAATGGGGCTCAAAATCTTCATGGTTTCCTTCATGGTAACCTCAATCTTGTTCTTTCTTCTCTTTATTCCCACAAGATTGACCATACAATTCTCCAGCCTGAGGAATGTGAGCTACTTGAGTGTTCCCCAAAGCATCAAGGCTTATCCAGTTACTTTTGCCTACTTGATCTCTGCATCCAAAGGAGATGTTGGGAGGCTCAAAAGGTTGCTAAAGGTGCTGTATCATCCAGGGAACTACTATCTGATTCATGTGGATTATGGGGCTCCAGAGGCTGAACATAGGGAAGTGGCAGAATTTGTGGCTAGTGATCCTGTTTTTGGCCAAGTGGGGAATGTTTGGGTTGTGGGGAAGCCTAATTTGGTCACATATAGAGGACCAACCATGCTGGCTACCACTCTCCATGCCATGGCAATGCTTCTCAGGACCTGCCAATGGGATTGGTTTATTAATCTTAGTGCATCTGATTATCCCTTAGTTACACAAGATGGTATGGTGAGTGGCCTTAAATGATCATATACCAATAGGATTATGCAATTGATGCTTTTCTTTTGGTCGATAACACTGCATATTTTTCTGTCGCTCACACTTTTTAAAGACAATTCAAGTAAAGTATCATAAATACTATTAGTACAGGTACTATTATTCAATATTATTCAAACAAAATTAGTAGTTTTATCTCAGTAATATGATATGCAAGAGTTGCAAGAGTTTTATCTCAATGATATGAAATGCATAATAAATGATTTTATTGTAAACGTGTATTATTGAACGTGTATTATTGGGATAAAATGATATGAAATGCATAATAAATGATTTTATTGTAAACGTGTATTATTGAACGTGTATTATTGGGATAAAACTATAATTGTGATTCTTCTGAGAGGAGAACAGTATCGATAACACCGACTATGATACTGTTTTATCCCTTCTTAATTAATCATACTAGTTTTATCCATTCTTAATTAATCTTACTAGTGTTGATTGCATATGTTATGAGTGACTCAAATTGATGTGTATGAACCTCTTTAAACTTACAGATATGATCCAAGCCTTTTCTGAGTTGCCAAGGAGTATCAATTTCATACAACATAGCAGCCAATTGGGTTGGAAATTGTAAGTTGTAGTATTGGTTTATTAGAAGATTTTCTGTCTCATGCCTTATGATTTGCCCAAAATTCTGACTTCAGTTTTTTAAATACACATCTTTAGGAATAAGAGAGGGAAGCCAATAATCATAGATCCAGGACTTTACAGCCTAAATAAATCAGAAATTTGGTGGGTCATTAAGCAGAGGAGTTTGCCAACATCTTTTAAGCTATACACAGGTTTACTTCCCCCTAATCTCTATTTGTTCTAGATTGTGCTATTATGTGTGTGTAAAAGTACATCCTCTGATTCCGTTCACTACACGCATGTGTGTTTTTACCTTTTTGGCTTAGTATTCAAATGGCATATAAGTGGACCATGTGATACTCTGAAATCCGAGTACAGTGACCATGAGTTGTCCCTTAATATACGGTGCATAAATCAATGTCATAATTTATTGTCGTCGGTCAGTGCCCAAATTTGAACCTATATGACATTATCTCAATTTTATATTTTGCCCCTCTTGTAATTACTCATCGGGTACATTAGTTTAAAATGTGCTACTCATCTAATAGAATTTTGGATTGGAACATTCAAGAATTTTATTTTTAAATATGATGAAGGTCAATCTTATGAAGTAATCCAAATCAAACATCTGAACCTATAAGCCATTGGAACCTATATTTTGTGGTTGAATCTAGAGATTTAGGATTAAACTATCAATGTTCTAGTGCTAATAAGATGTCCCTTTCAATTATTGCCCGCAAGTCATGGAAGGTAATTAAATGGTTGGTGTTGGTGGAAGTTGGGCATTGATGTATATAATGTGATTTCAAGAACTTTACCTACCTATGTCAGCTGAGAGAAACTCCACAACCTCTTCTTCAGTCATTAGCCTATTTTGATTACTTCTCTCATGACTGAATTTTGGCGAACATGAAAAAAAAGAAATAAGTATCCATGTTGGTATATAGCAGATGACAGTTTCTAAATTATCAAATTAATATAGAATCAGGAAAAAAAACCATACAAGTGCCTATTGCCACTCGGATGGGTTTATTGCCATTTTTATGTAATTAGATTTTCTAATTTTTTCCTTCAAAATTATTAGTTTGATTTACCAAAAAAAGAGGGTATTTTAGTACCGAACAAATAAAATGTGTCACATAGTATGTTACATAGCTGCATGGGTTGTACTGTATAGACTTTGTCGTTATAAATGAGAGATCAGTGAAATTTTTGAAGTTAGGGAAGGAAAGAAAATGCTTCATGGCAGTGGTTTGTTCTGCATTGAATTTGGAAAATACAAATGTCACTTCTCCCAGAAGCCATGTACTTGGTTGTGGTGTTGTGCAGTGTCTTCTAGTAGATGCACATGCACGATACCTTTCTTTTAGATATAAGTTGTTGATTCTTACAATGCATGTGCCTTCTTGTAGAGAACCAGCGTGTAATAAGTTTTTTGACAGTGGCTACGTGTCTTCATTGATAACTTCTATTCCACTTTTGTTGTGCTTTGTTTATCTTTATTTTTTGTTATGTCAGTCTCAATTTCATACATAGACAAGGACAATTGATTAATATTTTTTTTTCTGGTAACTTTTTCATTTTGTTAAATCGTAAACCAGGAAAGGAATTTGTTTAATATTGTTAACTTTCCTATGTATAGTTTTAGTTTTAGTTTTACTAAAGATTTTGAAATTTCCTCGATAACTACAATATCTAACGTTGCCTTAATTAAATAAGGTTTACTTTCCATCTCTTGATGATTGAAATTGAAATGAATTTATTTTACGAGATTTGGCTTCTTGAAAATAATACCCTAACCTAATTTACTGTCCAGCTCATTAATAATTAAGAGTTTATTTGGATATAAATTAAAAATATTTTTGAATTTTTTTTATTAAAAATAAAGAATATTTTCTTTATAATTTTTTTTTAAAATATTCAAACAATTACTATCATTATATACTTGGTTAACATTGCATATATAGCTTTAGATCATGGGATTGTATAAATTATTAGACCTCATGCATGACACAGTATATGTTGGTAACATTTTGCATGAGCTAACATGACACAATTCATCATCAGGTTCTGCTTGGACAATACTATCAAGATCTTTTGCCGAGTATTGCATAATGGGGTGGGAAAATTTGCCAAGGACCCTCCTCCTCTACTACACCAACTTTGTGTCATCCCCAGAAGGATATTTCCAAACGGTTATATGCAACTCTGAAGACTACAAGAACACCACAGTTAACCATGATCTCCACTACATCACTTGGGACAATCCTCCAAAACAACACCCTAGGTCTCTAGGACTCAAGGACTACAGGAGAATGGTTCTTAGTAGCCGTCCATTTGCCAGAAAATTCAAGAGAAATGATCCAGTTCTTGATAAAATTGATAGAGAGCTTCTGAAGAGGTATCATGGCCAATTTTCTTTTGGGGGGTGGTGCTCTCAAGGTGGAAGGCACAGAACATGCTCAGGTTTGAGAACTGAGAATTATGGAGTTCTCAACCCTGGTCCATCCTCAAGAAGGCTCAAAAATCTTCTAACAAAACTTGTCTCTGATAAATTTTTTCATAAACAACAGTGCAGGTAATAACAACCATATCATTCCCATTGAATATGGTCACTTGTAAAGACTACTCATGAAATTTTGGTTAATAATAATATAATGGATCATTTTTTCTTCTTTAAGTGGTTAGACTAATTTATTTTGTCATTATTGGATTTGGAAGCATGAATCTATGATCTATAATTATAATAAAAGTAATAGGTTTTTATTTATTTATTTATTTATATTTTTACATATTTCTTGAACTGATTTATCTTTTTATTACTTATAATTCACTCACATAGATTTTATTCTTTAGACTTATTTCACTTCTGAAGTAACTAACTACTTCATAAATAACTGCATATTTTTAATAATCACTTATTTATTATTTATAAAAATAATTCATAAAAGTACGAAGTATTTTCTTTTTTACGACAGTAAATAATAATGATGAAAATCATCATGACAGGAAAGCTTAATGAGATACTTTCAACGTTGAAAAAATTTGTATCACGTTTATAACATACATGAGACTTGTTTTGATGTTTGTAATAATTACAGTCGTGCTGTATATAAAGAAGCATGGCAATGATTATTTATGGTGATTTTAATGAGTTAGATTTGAATTTCATCACTAAAATTTCACTCCGATTTTGTTACAATAACAGCAATTCCTAAGGTTTATTTTAAATTGCATTTTAACACTTTGTTTTAAGTAACTTCCATTTCAATCCCTAAAATTGTGAGGTATTGTTATAATAGCCTTCAAAATTGAAATATGGCAAATAAACCTCTAAATTTAATTTCCATCTAGCAAGTTAGTTTTTGCCATTAGTCATTACCTTGTTATAGCCAACGTTGGATGCGGAACATTATCTACCATTTTAGCAGCCGTGACATTCAAATCATGGACACATCAATATAGACCGAAATGAAGATTTCGTGGATATCTTCTTATACTGATTTCTAGTAAAGGTAGCATTTCAAAATTAGGATCCAAAGTGACTAATTTTAGAACTAAAATCACATTAAATTGTTTGATGGGTAATTTTGTCTCTATTTTCTTCTTGTGGCCTATCTCTTTCTCTCTATTTCTTTCTCTCTTCCATAATCTCTATTACATAGACACCATTTCGAAGAAGACCAAAAAGGGACATGGTGGCTCAACGTTGTGGTGGCTTAATGGTGAGTGGATGTTTGGAAAGTCGAAGGAAGTCAGAGTGACATAGTTGTGTTGTGTTCATGGTGTAAGGTAAGGTTCGTGGCTGAGTGAACATGCTTGGTGTTGCAAGTGCCATGTTGTGATGGTCTAGGGGTTGCCATGATGTGGTTTAGTTATGGTTTTTGTAAAATTAAAAAAGAGAGAGGAGGAAAAATAATAGAGCAAGACAATTTGTATGGTGGGAGATACAAGAGTTTATTTTCATTCTACATATTTCAATGTTTTTGCAATGACTTGTATTTTGTAAAAATATAAAGTTACAAGCAAAAAGTATGATCATATATAGTTGACTTAGTTTAATCATTCCAAAAATCATAGATTATTTCTGACTTTCACCTACTACAATATGACTAAATACATTGCATATCATAATACAAATCAACATATTTAACATCTAAAATATCAAGAGAAGTCTCAAATTTAACACTCTTCTATCAAAATTTTCTCGAGTATTCCAAGACTTAATTTAAGCATTTCAAATTGACCCTTTAAAAGTTTTTTGGTCATGATGTCTATAATTTGTTCCTTAACATTGCAATGCTCCAAGCTAATTCATTTTGAGTTCTCTACTTCTCTAATGACATCACCTTGATTTGCTTAATTCTTCCATGTTAGACAAGATTTTTTGTGATAGAAAGAGCACGCTTATTGTCCACCCATATGACAGTAGCTTCATCTTAAATTTGCCTCACATATAATAAAATCATTCTCATCCAAACAACTTGATTTGTAACTGTTGCAACTGAAATATACTTACTTTAGTTGAGGATTGGGCCATAACATCTTTTTTTTATTTATTTATATATATATATATATATATATATATATATCTTATT